TCTCTGAATTTGACTACTCTAGCTACCTCATAATAAGTGAAATCAAACAATATGTGTCCTTTTGTGCCTAGCTTATTTCACTTAGGATAATGTCTCCAAGGTTCATCCATGTTGTAGCACGTGTCAGAATATCCTTCTTCTTTAAGGCTAAATGATATTCCATCGTATGTGTATACCACTTTTTGTTTATCCATTCATCTGTGAGGGACACTTGGGTTGCTTTTACATTTTGGCTATTGGGAATACAATATTATTTTTAACAGTTGCATAAAATTCATTCATTAGAGTGCCACACTCTAATCCATCCCATTTGTTTCAAACATTTTGCTATTGTTTAAAATAATGATGGAAATAATTTCTTTTTAGATAATATATCCTTAATTATTTTCTAACTTGTTTAGGATCTTTTTAGGGATATTCTCTGGGATATATTACTAAAAGTGAAATTGGAGGGTCACAGATTATGTCCATTTTTAAGGTTTTTGATTGTTTTTGTCTAACTGCTCTCTAGGAAGACTGTTAATATTTGTAGAATTTATTCCTGCCAGCCATGTACGAAAGTTTCTCTTTTTTAAATCTTTGTTGATATGATAAGCAAAAAATCTTATCTCATTCTTTTACTTTGCATTCCCTTAAATTAATGAGAGGAAACTTTCCATATTAGTTATTTGTATTTGATGAATTACTTTTTGTCTATTTTTAATTGGGGTATTTGTATAATAATTTCATCATAATAACCACAACTATAATAAGCAGTACTTAATGAATTATGGTACTTTGTGCCAGGTATCAGTTTAAATGCTTCACATGCATTAACTCATTTAATGCTCATCAACCCAGTGAGAGGTAGATTCTGTGATCCCCATTTACGGACAAACTGAGATGAAGGCTGGCATGCTGGCTCACGCCTATAATCCCGACACTTTGAGACGCTGAGGTGGGAGGATCACTTGAGTCCAGGAGTTTGAGACCAGCCTGAGCAACATAGCGAGACTCTGTCTCTACACAAAAATTAAAAAGTTAGCCAGGCACGTGCATATAGTCCTAGCTACTTGGGAGGCTGAGGCAGGAGGATTGCTGGAGCCCAGAAGTTTGAGGCTGCAATGAGCCATGATGACACCACTGCACTTAAGCCTGGATAACAGAATGGGATCCCGTAAGAAGGATGGAAGGGATGAAGGGAGGGAGGGGGGAAGGGAAGGGAAAGGGAAAGATAGAGAAAAGGAAAAGGAAGAAAGAGAAAGGAAAGGAAAGGAGGAAGGAAAGAGAAGAAAGAAAGAAATGGAGGTGAAGATAGGTGCGGCCACCTGCCCAGGGTTATGCAAGTAGTAAGTGTAAGTGGTGGAGCTGGGACTACAGAGCCTACACTCCTATCTGTCTAATACTCACCTGTCTTTCCAGTGACCAAGCTATACGCCCTTCCAGAGCAGTGCACTGTATCACTTGTTCATTACTGCACCCCAAGATGGTACAGTGCCTGGTCCATAATAGGTACTCAGTAAAGACTTCTAGAATGAATGAATGCATGCCATCCATAGTTTTAATTACTTTAGCTTTGTGATCCATCTAGTGGGCCCCCTTCATTTCTCTAATTGTGCATTTATTCTTCCAGGAGAAATTTAGAATGTATAATTGTCAAGTTCTTGTGAATATTTTCTTAGCTATATTATATTTTTTTGCTGCTCTTGTGAATGAGATATCTATCATGTTTGTAACTTGTTATTGCCAGTATATGGAAAGCTCCTGGTTTTAACATATTTACTGTCTAATCAGCCCCCTTAATGAAGTCCTAGCAGTAATATCGTACATCAGTTGTTTCCCTCCAATGTCTCAGAAATCAGTAATATCACCTGCAAAATAATGATCATTTGGTTTCCTATCAAACATTTATATCTTTGTTTTTTTCTTGTTAAATTAGCTTGGATTTCAAGTGTAACAATGTATAAAAGCTAGTGGCCATGCTTATCTTTTCAGATTATGGTAAAAACTCCTCCAGTGTAGCATTTTCCAATTCCGTCTTGAAGAAAAGATAGTGATAAGTATTTTGTGAAAAAAGCATGCCACAGTCAAGTAAGTTTGAGAAATGCTACATATCATGTTTTTTGGTAGGAAAAGAAACTTTGTCATATGAAAACTTCTGGTTTTAAGATACACTCAGATCTCTAAAAATGTTACTACTGGAGTAGGGAGGCAGTAAGTAGGGAGTGGTGTCTTAGAATATAATTTATCTCTCTTAGAAATTCCTCCTATAAATTTGCATATTAAAAAGATCTTGAAGTAAAAGTACCCCTTGAACTTTATTTGACCTAAGGTTTGCAAAACTTTTTTTGACCAGTGAATACTTCGCAGGGGAATATCATTAGTATTTCATAGAATGTGCTCTATGTTTCAATGTTAAATAGTGGGCCATTGGTTATGGATTTCAGGTAATTTTTTTTT